AGAGTACAGCGTCTGGACAAACTCCTTAGAAACAGAGTTACCTGCATCACTTTGATACACGCTAGCATCAGCCATGTTAAAGTCACCTAGTACGAGAGTTGCGCCATCGTGAGAACTGAAGTCACTTATCGCTTTAAGAAGTAAATTGGTCTTGAGGGCATTACAAGATGGAGTCCTGTAGATTAACACGAATCTGACAGTGGAAAGGTTAAGGTATGCATCAATAACAATAATCTCATAAGCTTCGGGTACTGATTCACTAAAGACAATATTGTGAGGTATAGCGTTTCTAATGAGAATCAGGACACCCCCTCCTTTTCTTCTGGCACGATCACATCTGAGATGAGTGTACTGAGAGTTAGCAACACCTAGCAGACTAGATACTTCAATATTAGGAGTTAACCAAGATTCCGAGAGAAAAACCAAATCATAGCTCTCACGTATTAACAGTGAAATGACAGCGTCACTATTTTTAACAAAGGACCTAACATTTGACAACATACACTTGATCCTGAATTTCCCTCGAGAACAATTACCAGAAAAATTTGTGCGTGGGCCAGGCGTCAAAGTGCCCTGGGAGAACCTAGGACAACTCAGAGGTTTACCGCCTGGTTGGGGAGGATTTGTGGGCTACCTGAGTGATCAACATTATGCACAGTAGAAGCTTCATCCTGAGAGTGATTTCGACGAGCAAGCCACTCTTCTCGCCTGCGTCTTCTCTCATCCAGTGTGAGAGAAGGGCGTATAAAAACGCCTTGATGGGAGAAGAAACGTAAGCGAGGAGCGCGTCTTATAACTTCTTTTTGGAATCCACTACTGGGTAGAACTACCTTCAAGAGTCTTGGTCTACGAGGGTCTTTTCTACCCATACGGTACACGGACACGGGAAGACAAGCAACATCGAGAAAGTCAAGCAAAGTGTGCGTGCAATATAAGTCATGGTTAACAGCTTCCAGTGATCTAGAAGAGCTACTCTCAGGGACACCGGATATAACAATGGAACGCTTGAGATCAGGATCACTTACATCATCAGTAGCTGAACTGACAGAATGAACAATAGCTTCACTATGAGAAACTTGAACACCAGTATGAGAATAAGCTGACTTAGCGGAAACTAACTCATCAATTTTAGACTTTAAAACCAAATTTTCCTCCCTCAATCTTCTATTCTCGTCCTCGTATGAATCGCATTTCCGGCTGACATTAGCTAATTCACGGCGAGTATCGATCAAGAGGTCGATTATCAACTGCATGTAAGGCGGAATATCGCGACTTGACCGGATAAGTTGTAGCTTGTCCATCACATTGGTGGTGGCTTGCGGTGAATCGCCAATGCGAGATCTCTTCACTGGAACAGAGGAGGAACGGGAGGGAGAAATCATACTGTCGAGGCGGATGACAAAATAACAATCGATAGACCGCCGGTGATGATCTAGCAATAATCAACGGCGAAGGAAAGTAAAAATTACCCGATAAGGTGGCGAAATTCAACGAACGAAAGTCACTCCTCGCCACAGAAGTGTACGCCTTAGACAATACCAGTGAATAGGAACCACAGACGTGTTGAAAAAATGTGCAAATATGTTGAAATAGCGTGTACCACAAGAGCGAATAGATAGGCCGCCGCCCACGGTCAGCGCACGGTTCTACGGTACAGTACACGGAATTCGTCATTTCTAGAGAGGTTCTACATCGCAGCAGTTATGTGAATTGCTTCAGTGCTTTCGGGTAGACCCTGCTGTAAAGTAGGGCTCACGATCACTTATAACTATCCAAGGTCTCCGTAGAGTGGAGGTACTGTGAACTGTAACGAACAACCCTGTATAAGTTTCACGTCAGAAAGCGGTAAGTAGCAGCAATATAGTACATGGTCACTCAAGTGACTTGCTCGCTTTGATAGATGTCCTGTCTGCTGTCTTGTTTGTTTGCATGCTCTCTCGCTGCTTTCTCTGGCTCGCCCGATATCACTATCGAGTCCTTGTTCCTACCTTAGTACAAGTGGGGCCCTTTATTTCGAGGCGTTTCCGACTACTTCCTCTCCTCTTTCCTTTACGAGCAGGTGGACACACACACACACACACACACACACACACACACACACACACACACACACACACACACACACACACACACACACACACACACACTTCTGTTCTGACCCCGCTAACTGCAAACTGTTCGTCGGCTCTGGTCTTCCTTCAGAGACAGCGGGCAGGATGAATCGACCAGACGTATAGGCCGATAATCCTACCAGGAAGGTTGAATCACACGGTTACTTGCACTGTGATGTCGCCGATATACGCCTCTTAAGACACAGAATTCTCTGAACGGATCTATGGAGGGTATGATTTACAGTTACACCAGTTTTCTATCAGGTGGAATCAAATTCACTCAACTTCAACTCAAAAAAGCCCATAAAGTGCAGCTTTCATCTTCCCGAGCAAAGATTGTTAGCGATGGTTGCGACTACTTTCACTGTTCATTACATTACTGCCGCACCACTGCCTTTTTTTTACGTAATTATTTATTGGTTGTTTGGTGAAACGATTTCGCGATACTTCGCTACTCGAAGTATCGCGAGAGTACAAGATGCCGTTATGTCTCACGTTCATCGACTTGAAGAAAGCCTTCGACTCCGTTGAGACAGAAGCGGTTATCGAAGCCCTGGGCAACCAGGGTATTCCTACTCAGTACATCAGGATTCTTCGTGAGCTCTACAGCAACTTCACGACTAGGATCACACCATTCTACAAGGAAGGTTATCATCGACTTGGAAAATGGTCCGCAGGGCGACACCATCTCGCCCAAGCTCTTCAGCGCCTCTCTCGAGAACGTCATGCGTCAACTGGAATGGGAAGACATGGGAGTGAAGATCGACGGTCGACATATTGTGTAGTTCACTGCGGACGGTTGGGCGTGTCAGTGCGGCTGCGTTTGGCGCGGTGCCAAACTCGTTCTCCACCAGTTGTTGAAGCGCAAGTGACAATGCTGTATCATATCGTTCGTATTACTCGTTTTCTACCACTTTTTGTCGCATGCGCGCTTCAACAAAAAGGCAGAGAACGGCTTTGTTGCTGTGCACACTCATTCTGGCTGACACGCCCCACATCTTTTTGATAACACCAAACATCGAGCAAGCGGAACGAATGCTGGCTGATTTCGACTGAAAAATCGGTCTACGGCTGAATCTAACGAAGACGATGTTCATGAGAAACGGATTGGTGCCTGATGATCCATTCACGCACGACCATTTCTGAATGCTCTAGCTATGTGTACCTGGGTCGTGAAATCAATATGATGAATGACTTAGCTCCAGAGCTGAGCAGGAGGAAGCGAGCGGCTTGGGGAGCCTTCAAGAACATCGAGGGAGTAGCGAAGAAGACGAAGAACACCAAGCTCCGTGCCCACCTCTTCGATTCCGCGGTCCTTCCTGCCTTGACGTACGCCTCAGAGACTTGGACTCTACGAAAGCAGGATGAGCATGCGGTTGGCGTTATTCAACGCGCCATCGAAAGGGCGATGCTCGGAGTTTCCCGCTACACGCAAGTGAGAGAGGGAATCCGGAGCTCCGCACTCCGCCGACGATCGAAGATCAGAGACGCCGCCGCATTTGCCAAGGTTTCGAAGATCAGGTGGGCCGGACACGTCATGCGTTTCGAGGACGACCGCTGGACCAGAGCGATCACCGACTGGATTCCACGGGATGTCAAGCGAACGCCTGGACGACCGCCTATGCGATGGTCAGACTTCTTCGTGAAAGCTCTGAACGAATGGTATGAAGTTCATCGTGTCCCTCGAGCTGAGAGAGTTCATTGGGCAACTCTTGCACGTTGCAGGGACGAATGGAGACGCCCGCTCGAGGAACTCGATGATCAACGGGAGCAATGGTGACAGGTGAGGTTGTAGTGAACGATCAAAAACTCACCACACAGACATTCTTGTCGGGAAAGTCAAGTGTACAGAATGTGTCCATTTGTTTTTCGGGCACATTATATGCGCATTCTGCATCACTTATTCTTTTTCCTAAACATTCAGTTGTAACCTATTCTACCTGGCAACGGATTGTGCATGACACACATTTTTACCTAGCTCGATCTTCTGCAATCGTGGAGAGGAGACAAGTTTCTTGCGCGCTACAAGAAAGGCCATTTGAGAGTGAGCAAATGAGAGAAACAATAATAAGTAGCTCACGATTAGATCCCCATCCGGCTGCGATAAGTTTACTCGACTCAATGTCCATCTCGTCTACGTTGTGAAGGTGGGGCAGGCAAATATGATTAATGTGTTCCGGAATATCGTTCTCCAACTCGAGAAACGCTATGTCCTTGGTGTCCGTACAACGTTCTTGGTAATAATCCGAATAGTAAGCCCTGAATTATACTGAAAACTTCTCCCCACGTTGCATGAGTCCTACCCAAAGTGAATGTTCTGCGTATTTCGAAATGAATGATCGCTCTCGGATGGCAGTAATTTGAGTTCAGATGCAGAATAGCAGAACGACTTACTCAATTCTCCAAGTTGCTGCAACTTGGGCTTTTTGCTTACTGACGGCAAATTTCTCTCAAAGGCCCATGCAACCCCCACCCCGGTGAGCAGGTACGACCCCTCCCCTTAGTTGGCAAGTACGACCGCATACATGGGTTTCACAGGCAACGATGCTGTACCCTGTGTATAAAAGAAAGACGACTACGAATAGGTGGACAAATCGGTGAAAGCATGTGCGATCCACGTAGTCGAAAGCATGCGTGATCGATCGCGTCAAACGCGCGACCGAAGCGCTGCCGTCGCGAAGTCTGAACGCTGCCTTACAAACATGGCTTCGTATTTTGAGAAGTCATTTCAAATACGTTGTGTTGTGTACGCACCTCTTGACCTTCATCACTGTACCAATATCCTTCATTGTACAACCAGCTTCTTCGTTCTCTTCTTGGCAAACACCACCAACCATAACTTCACCAAATTTGACCACTTTATCCACCGATTCCATGTCCGTAATGCTGCAACATATGTAGCTTCAATCCGACAAAGAAGCACCATGTTCACTACAGACTATCTGCTGAAGTGAAAACTCCATCCAAAAGGTCGACACTTCTTCACTCGAAAAGGCTTCACCTGCATTCGTCTACTCCATCTCTACGAAAACAGTGAGCAGCAGTCAGCACATGGCGTCGAGTCACTAAGGTCCCAGCGCAGGTAGCTGGAATTGTCTGGCATAACTCAGAATTGCATTTCATCATGATAGTTTTGAGTATCAGTTGACACTTTGGTGACAAGTGAATCTGAGGCGTGTCCACTGCGCAGTTTCTTTCTATAGTAGAGAAATGCATCCCGAGGCCGAGACAATCTCACAGCGGCAATAGTGCCAGCAGGATTTGAGCTTCATGTAGAGACCATCAAAGTTCGCCTTGTTTTCGACTGCTCCTTCACAAATACTTTCGCCTGGCTCACGGGGTGCCCAGTAGACATGCATGAAGCAGGAGAACGCCTCAGTGGCTCTTCTGACGGGTTGCTCGAAGACAAATTTTACTCTACCTCCGTGGGTCCTGGTTATCGCGATGTGTTCGGGTGAATTGGGCCGTAGCTACAGCAGCACACCATTTCCTCCGGTCAAAAGTGCACGGGAACGGAGCTACAGGATAATACTACCAGGTGCTCTCCAACCTCCTCCGCGCACGATCGTCACACACGCCTGACTATAGCCAAACACCCCACTTGTTGGCGCTCTCTCCACTTCTGGTTGTTATCTGCCGCTCGGTCCGTGTTTCGCTGCGGAACGTGTCATCGACGCAAGTGCTATACCTTGGGAATAGGGCAGGTGGAGTATGGAGACGGCACTTAGGAATCCCTACTCTATAGCCCCGTACCTTTGCTCATTTGAGCGGGGAAGGTGGCACGCTACTATAGCCATTATAGCCTCATCTCACATTTGGCAAAGAGCGGGATCCATCTATATGAGATTGCAGTCTGTTTTTAAATTACTCAAACCTTACTGGGACCTAATTGTGTACGTCTACGCGGCGTCCCATCATTGGACTCCAATGTCGCCAACGTGTCAACTTAGCGAGTAGTACCTTTGTGTTCTGCTCGGGAGAAATCTTCTACGAACAGTAGAACTTACACTTCAGAATCACTCGAGAGGGTTGCAAAATAGGTTTGATTGCTCTCATACTTTTCGACTTGAACGATTCATTCGCGCGAAGAGGGAGCCGCGTGGCTACGATCAACCGCGCTCTGCCGCCAATTATTGGACCGCATCAACGGCCGAGATGAGCTCAATCCTTGATGTCAACGATTAGCAGCTACAGGGGTCGGAGAACTAGCAGCAGAACGCCTTCGTTCGCATTCGCGCCCTTCGAAAGCCCATTTGAAAATCGCTCAAATGAATCGCTCCAGTCATAGAGTATGAGCTTGCTATCAGAGCTGATAGAGGAGTTACCACCAAAAGAGGTGTTTCAGGCCGCGGGCTTTATTTGAAAACAGTTTTTTGAATACTGTAGAATATCATACGGAGACCACATAAGTTTGTTCTTGTTTACTTGCTTTTTG